CCTCCTGATCCGCAGGGCAAATATTTTATATTATTTTAACACTTTGTACCCTCTATTTATCCATTTTTTTTAGCAGTATTCTTATTTTCTAATGCTTAAATTACTAAATTTCAAACATCTCTTGACTCTACTGCAGCCACTGTGTGTGAAGACTTTCTTCGTCCGCATCCTGCCACCTCCATCTTTCTCCCTCTCCATCCTTTCACAACATGGATACGTCCCACTTTGTGTCTGGAGTGGCAAGGTTGGCAGTATTGTTCCAGGATGTATTTGTAAAATACAAAAATATAGATTATGGTAAAACATGATGATATTTTAGTATTTCTACCCAAATAGTCCTTCTCATTATTAGTATTTTCTCTGTCAGGACACTTTTAGGACAATATATTTATTTATATTTATTGAGAATTGTCTGAAAATATTTTGAAAAGGCATTTGGAATTTTCAAGGAACTATTGTCAATAAAGGTTTTCACTTAGTTTTCAGTATTCTGTTCACACTGTTTGCATATGGTGGCTCATAAACACAAGTTCTGAAAAAAAAGTTTTTTGGATGCTATTAATTCCATTACTATTTTGCTACATGCATTTCTAGGAATGAAAATAAGCATGCATTTGTTCCCTTACATCAATTATCTAACTCTCCTATCCTTTCAAATTGACAATCTTTTTTCATGTTTTTGTTGATGTTCTTTTATTTTAATTTGGGTGTATATATGTATATTTTTTCATTTTGTCTATGAAACTTTCACTTATTATTATTTTTTTTTAATTTGCAAGCAGCTTTGTTACCTGACACTTTCTCTTACATATATAATGATATTTACATTGTGAAATAATACTGTCTCATACATATTTGAAGATTCAAGTCTTTTTTAAAAAATGTATTCTTTTCTACATTTTCCCAATCATTTTACCTCATTGTACATTCATTTATGAATGTGTACTTGTGTTTGTGTGTATGTGTACATGTATGCATCTTCCTCTTCCATGTTACAGATTTGCTTAAAAGTATGGTAACAGTGGGGTCTAAAAGAATATTTGCAACTAAAATACGGTATAATCTGTAGAGTTTGTCTGTTTACAATGTCTCTGGAGAATTTCTCCTCCCATCTCCACAAAAAAGACTCCGAGGAGGCCATTTTGTTTTTTCCATTTAAGTGACTGCTCATTCCTCTAACCAGATTCCTTCCTCAAAGGGTCCTGAAATATTTCATCTCTTCTTGTGCTTTATGCTCTCCTGTTCTCTTTTAATTTATGATATATCTATTTTTTTATCATCAAGATAATTGGGATTTAACAGGGAGATATTTTATGTATGTGCTTAAATTTACACACTAACCTAAAATTGGAAAGAGTTTAAATACAAGAAAATAAAAGGTAAAAATGAAATGAGTAAGACAAAGAAAATAAAACATAAAAATTAAATGAGTAAGATGAAGAAAATAAAAGGTAAAAATGAAATGAGTAAGACAAAG